TTTGCTCTCAAATGCTCTCGTTTTCTCACCTCCGCTCTGTTCTTACACTCTGAGGCTTCTGCATATATAAGGTCAGATTTGTCAGCAAAGCATAAGCCACTACTTCAACGAGATCATGAGACTCTAAATGTCAGAAGCGCTCTCTCAATTTTAATTAGTGTGGTAAACTAAGGCATGGTGTTCTACTTTATATTACTGTTTGCATAACTGCTCTTAGACAGTGCATGTGACATATTCTAAGCCAAAGTTTGGACAGAAGAGCATAGATGAAAGTTAAGAACAGGAATGGCTACATCCATAAGGCTAGTGTTTTTCAGATGGTTGTCTACAAGCTCCTAGAATTGCATGTCTAGTCAGGCTGGAAAGATTACTAAGGAGAGTTTGCAAGCACTGCTGAGCAGCAGAACCTTTTCAATCATTTGTTGGAAGAAAAACTGCTATACTGCTAAACTACAATGCCTACAACATTCCTGCTTTCTCCATTTCCATCATTTGATGAAGATGTTGGCGGCGCTCCTAAGCTGACAAGAACATGGCAAGCAATCTACTCACAGTTCAGCAGGCCTATCAATATCATTTTTTTAGACAGTCATTAAATTGCCTGAACTCAGTGTAATCTGTGATGGAGCTCAGCGTTGCCACAATAAATAGGCTTCTTTTGGCAACCTTGATCTCACATAACACAGCACACCAAACAAAGCTACCACAATCACGTCATCACAGAAGCCAAGTAGTTCACCAACAAGACCCAAGTTTCCCAAAAAGGACCCAGCTTCTTTTCCTCCCCTAGCTTGCTTTCTTTTTTTTCAAACAGTGAAGATCAGAAAATGCCTGGTAAATACCAAGCTACATCCTCCTCTCTACAGGAAGGAGAAATCTCAAGGTAATGTATGTTAGAATAGTTTTACAAAAGATGTGAGAGAAGAATCCTGGATATTACAGAAGTTGTCAAGTGAAAACATATATAGGAAGCCAGTATTCTTGGAAGTGAGAAAGAGTAAAGCAAAGTTGGAGTGCTTAGACTGCATTATTTGTATACTAGTACCACCAGTACTAAGACAGGAGAAGAGATGGAAAAATTTGCTCCGTCATCCCACACTGCATTTCTTCTCCCACATAAAAAGTGAAGCCAGCAGGGACAGCAAAGGAACTCAGCCTCCCAGAGCTCAGTACAGATGCCAAGATGCCCTAACTCTAAGAATTGAGGCACCCAGCTCTCAGAGCCTTGGCAATTATTATACTTCCCCTAAGATCTGCAGTCTCTCCAACAAGCAACAGCCAACTTAAACAGTTTCTATTCTGCTGATTCAGCAGCAAGGCCTCAGTTCATTTGGTATTTCAGCCACGCTTCTGACCCCAACTGCCATAGCTAAGACACTTCATCCTCCATTGCCATAGCTAAAGACATAAGGCTCCTGGTTACACTGTATGATTCAATTCCAATTAAGAAACTAGTTGAAGAAACCACCACTGCATATCCAGAAACAGCCTTTACATGGCTGCACTCAGTCAGTACACTTGTCTCTAGTAAGAGAAAGATGAATTTCAGTGCCAACCAGTTTACTAATAGATATACTAAATAGATATACTAAGTTACCTTAAGAGTTTTTAAGAGGCAAGAAGAGCCCTTCAGTGCAGGAAGAACATCAACAGTAAGATGTAGATATTTTGAGCAGAGAAAACTGAGCACATTGATATCTTTATTAAACTATCACGTCATATCAGACCTTTTAAGGCCATACATACATGAATGCACATCAGAATCCTCAGTCTTCCCACATTAGTACAACCCCAAATAACGGCACTCCTATCAAAAGCAACAAGGAGATTTATGAAAGGTCCTACACTTTAAACTCATGCGATTAAAATTCAGCTCATGGTTTGATGTTCAATGCATGCAGTACCACAGCTGCAGCATTCCCACCCCAGAAGACCACACCATTCACCAAGTTGTAGAATTAATTAGGTCTTCTATAGCCTGAAAAAGGACAGTGAAAAGTACTTGTATCAGCTGCTTGCATTTACTAATCCAGTGATTTACAGCCAAAATATGTAAGCTCTGGCTTCAGGTACATTGCTGGTATTGTTGATTAGAATATCACTTGCATCTTGTGGCAAGGCACAAGAAGGAGGCATTATTACCCAGAGGTGCAAGTGAACAGCTGCCTAATACATCCAGAGATCAGAGTAGTCTTGTGGGAACTTCCATCTGTCTCTGCATAGACTAAACAACTAGCACAGACTAAGGAGATCCAGATAAGCTGGAGGGGAACAATCATTCAACTGCTTTGTATTTTGCATGATTTTAGCACAGCTGTATCTTAACTGAAGGATGGTCTTGATCCACCTAAAACTTTACCATAGGGCCCTGCTCAAACCTAATTACACTACAAACTCACTTTTGCTTTTGCATTACTGAAAAAACTGGTTTGGAATTAGCAAACAAGGCAAACTGCACTCCTATTTCAGGAAGGTGGAGCTCCTTAAATGTTTTAAGCATAATGCCTATTGCTTCTTAAGTATAAAAGCTAAGTTTAAAGAGGTGCAGCCCATCAGAATCCCAGAATGGCAATACAGCCTATCACGGACAGATATGCAATTAAAAAAGGAAGCGGGATCTTTCAGTACTAGGAGACAGCAGAAATCATCCCTACAAACCTGGGCTGAATAGCCACAGGACAATTTTAAATCAGTGAACCATTAAGTAGGTGTCCTCGTTTAAAGGGCCTAATAATCTGCTAGGTCTTCGAACACAAATTACAAAGCTCATTAACTTTTCATGAGGAAAATGATGTTCTTCCCTTCCCACTCCTAGTTCTGCAAAGAGATACAGCAACAGGCTCCTTCAAAACAAAGCAGCTGTTGTCTCACTTCAATCCTGTGTTTATACATACAGTTAGAAAACAAGCAAAAAAACCCACAACACCATTTTAAATCGAGTCTGGGAGACATATTGCTTATCTGAGACTTCATTCTCAAACCTACTCGATGCTATCAAGCAACAAGTTTCCTGTGCTCGCACGAAGCACCTTAAGACATAGGCATGATATAGGGAAGGAAGACTTGCACACTTGAGAGCGATTCCAAATAGCGCCCTGAAGCTCTGCAACATACCCCAAGGGCAGAGATATCCTTTTGGAGAAATAAGCTTCACTAGATCGTAGTTTAAAAGTATAAAAAAAAAAAAAAAAAAAAAAAAAAAAAAAAAAAGGAAAGAGGCTTAATATCAGCTCTACTATCAGAGGCTGCTCGCTTATCTCTGACGAAACTTCATGCGAGCAGGAAAAGCGCTAACAAGTAAAGCATCTGTTAAGTCTTCACAAGATACGATCATTACAGAGCACTGATCTCCGGAGGCCCGCTTTAGTCTTAGGCACAAGCTCAAGGGAACTACAAAAAGAAGGCCACGCTCAATAAAGTCAGATTACATCAGTACGGCCAACAACCCATTTCTGGACCCGAATTCCAAGCTCTCAGGGCTGTCCCTGGGTCCTAGATTTTAAAGGGACGGTTTTTGGTCTGCGATCAGCGTAGTGCTGGAAAGCCAGAACCTCTCGTAAAAGGCAGTTAACTCTTTTCCCTTTCTTATGTAGGTTCTTACACTCCCTTCTTATATCTCTACATCAAACCCATCAGCCCGCACTACATCCCCGCAACAGCACGAGCGTAGTCCAGGGGTTAAAACAACAGCGCTATAAAACTAGATAATGAGCTGCAAAGCCGGCCTTGCGCTAAGGAAACACCGCAGGAAGGCTGCGGGATACGCACCTGCCCGCACCGCCCATTACAACCCGCAGCCCCCCGACACCGCACTCACCTGAGGCGCCGCCGTCGCGCAGCGCCCCGAGCAACCCCAGGAGCAGCACAACGCCGGGAGAGAACCGCATGGCGCTGCAGAGGGAAGGGAAAGCAGCTGAGAGAGGACCGAGACGCAGAAGAGAAACAGGGCGGAGCCTGCGGGGAGGAGTAACACCCTGAGGCTACGCAGATCCCGCCCAGCCGGTTCCTCCCCGCACGCACCCACCCACCCAGGGGCTGGGGGTAACGGTGATGGCAGCCCCTTCAGCGCCCTTTATCCGCCTCCCCATGCTGCGGGGGCAGAGCTGGGGGAGGTCTCCAGGCTGAGCTGCATGAGCATCGAGCTAATTTTTGTTTATTTCTTTAATGGCGCTGCCGTTTTGTTCTCACGCAGGGAGCCCCGGCGGTGCCTCTGGCTGCCGAGGTGATTCACAGCCGTGTGACGGGAGGCAAATTAAACGCCTCTTTTTGGAACGGTGGTGGTGGCTGTTTTCAGCTTTTGGGAGCTTAAAGGCGGTCTTGTTGCTATTTCAACCCCGTTCGTGAATTTGCGTCCTAACCTCGGCTTTGCGCCGTCACCCGTTTTACTGGCTTTTTCTTGGCAGCTTGCTCTGAACCGGCTTCCAGATAAAACGCAGAAGGAAGTCGTCGGTCTGCTGCAAGAACACAGCGCTGAGCACCGCTCGGCGCTTCACACCGCAGTTGCTCCAGCTGAAGACCGCAGTTATTCCACATGAGCAGCTGCTCGCTCTTCTCCCTGCTTTGGTGCGCAGCTGCCTTTCTCAGCCAGGACATCTAGCTTTTGTTTTTGTTCAGCTCAACAGCGATCTTGTAAGGCAGAGTCTGTATGAGGGTTGTAAACCGTTAAGCGTATTGCTCAGAGCCACTGTCACAGCCGACTTCTCCCAGCGAGACCCCCCCCGCCTTTCGTTCACAGCCCGGCACTCAACCAGCTTGTGAAAGTCCGAGCAAGGATACGCATTTCTGAAAGAAATAAGTATTTATGTATCGCGTGTCGCTGCGTTTTCCTCCCTTTTATCTCAATACCTGCCTCTGCGAGCTTCCCGGCGTGCGGCGGTGCCCCGCCGGCCCCAGCAGAGCTGCTCACGTGCGCCGGTGGCAGCAAAGCAGGACGCAGCACCCCTGCCCTGAGCTGTGCAGGCCTCCTCCCGGCCGGCAGAGGGCACGCGTTACCCAGCCCACCGGAAAAAGATCCCCGTCCCACCCACCGGAAGGAGGCTCACGCCCCGCCCCGCCTACCGGAAGGAGTCCCCCGCCCCGCCCAGCTTAGCCATGGCGGACCGGCTCACGCAGCTGCAGGATGCGGTGAACTCGGTAAGGCGGCTGCTGCCTTTTTTCTCGGCAACTGTTCTTCCCACCAGGGAGGGATCTTGGCCTGGGCTGGTTCTTTTCTTGCCCGCTCGCTGTGGGCTGTGAGTCACTTCCCCCCCCCGACGATCCCAGCCAAGGGACCTTTGCTGCTGCTCCTAGCTGGCTGTGGGGTCTGCGCGTAGTTCTTGTGGGCGGGGGGACAAAATAAAGTGGAAATGGCTTTAGAGATTTGATAAACGAAGTCTCGTTGCACCCTGCAGCTCGCTGACCAGTTCTGTAACGCCATCGGTGTGCTGCAGCAGTGTGGCCCCCCAGCTTCCTTCAGCAACATTCAGACAGCAATCAACAAAGACCAGCCGGCGAATCCCACGGAAGGCAAGTCGCTCGGGTTCCCTCGTGGCACACTGTCATTCAAATATTGTGTGTTCTTTCATGCTGAGCAAGCAGTTCTGCCAGTAACTGTCAGTGAAGTCACAAATTGATGTCGGGCTTGCTTATGAGATTGTGACTTTGGCAACATCATTTTGAGTTGCGTCTAAGCATTGAAATGTATTTCTTGTTATGTTTATTTGCACAGATACAGTAGCACTTCAGGTATGAATTTGTGTAAGAGGACTGCTGTGGGAGGCTGTTAGTGAGCTTCCCACTACTTTTTTAATTTTTGAATGCAAGCGTTTGTTTTATGGAATCATGCATTAATTTAAAGCTCTCTGTCTTACCGGTATTTAAGTATGTTTCTTTGCATACATTGATTGCTTATGTAATTAATTAAGGAATCTTCTGTCATTCCTAAAACTCTGAATGTAACAAGTTCACTAAAATCATACAACCAAGTTTGTAATGTTAATGGGACATTGCAAAGCAACCAGTTGAATGTCTTTGGGAATTTAAATTATTAACAAGAAAGCTTTAAAACTCAGTCTGGAGGGCACTGATTTACACATCAGAGTGAAGTGAGTGACACAGAGAAGGCTTTAAATGGGTATATTGGGATATTTGTTGTTCTTCGGAGTTGTTTTGTTATTTATTAGTTTTAGGACAAGTCTATCTTTGAGAATGTCACTCTCGTCTAGACATTTTTCTCATTAGACAATATTTTTTTCATTTGGCAATCAAGAGAATGAAACATGTAAGATATTTGCCTTGTGTAAGATCTTAAGTTATAAGTCTAAGAGGGCTATTTCAATATTTTAGCAGTAGAAACAAAATTGATTCAAATTGAATGTTACAATTCCACATAGAAAATTTTTCTTTCTGGTTTTAGAGCCAGATTGCTAAAAATTGATGCAGTTCTTTCAGTGATCTAGTAGCTAAACTAAGATTTACAAATCTTCACTGCTGTTCCATGTCTCGGTGACAACTTAACTTTTCCTGTGGGTGAATAGTTGTCCTTTAAAACAAACCAGCCTCACATTCTTTCATTCACTAATGGCCTATAACGTAATTTAAATGATCTGTCTATTTGAGTTACAGTCTTTACCTTGTTTCTGGTGTTATTTTCCAGTGGCAGGTCTCAAGACAAGGACCGTAAGTTTAAATGAATTCCTAACTATGAGGGCTGCTCCAAAAGTAGTGCTTTTCTATTATATTGATCTACTACAACAGATGTTGGTGGAATAGAGGCTAAACCTTCCCACCAATGTTCCATTACGTTTTGTTGTTGTATGAAGGGTGGGAGCAGAGGGGCAGTCTGGCAAAACGGTGTCTGATGTGAAAGTGCGTATGAAGCAGAGATTTGTTGTTGAATCCTTCTGTGTGGAAGAAAAAAATGACACCCATTGACATTCAATGGCACTTACTGAATGTTTTTGGAGGCCAAACAGTAGATGTTATCACGGTGAGGTGGTGGGTGGTGTGTTTCAGCAGTGGTGACAGCAATGTGAAAAACAAACCCCATTCTGGATGGCCACACAGATTTTACAGGATGGCCTGCAGGCTTTTCACTAGTGAAAATGTATAGCTGATGATGGTGACTGTGTTGAAAAACAGTGTTTTGTAGCTGAGAATATACTCTATTAAAAAGTGTAAATGTGCTCTTTGTAACTGTTGTAGTTTCCAAGGAAATAAGTAGGAAACATTACTTTCAGAACAACCAACTTACTTATTATAGTGACTAGGATACTGAATACTCTTAGTAATTTCTTAATAGGCTAACCATGATGGAGTTCTAGCTATTTACTCATTTATACAAAGGCTATATTTATAGTTATCCTGTTTAATCTGCAATTGGAATCAACCATCATCTTCTAATAGGGTCCCTTTCTTGTCAATTGCAATACTGTTGTTTCCTTCATATAGGAGAAACTGTAACATATACATACTTGAGGTCTTCAGAATTTTCCATGCCATGAATGCAGAGTTGTGCTTATTTCTAGCAATGCATCGAGTAAGCTGACTTTTTTTAATTCTTTCAAAGAATATGCCCAACTGTTTGCAGCATTGATTGCACGAACTGCAAAAGATATTGATGTTCTAATAGATTCCCTGCCCAGTGAAGAATCAACAGCAGCTTTGCAGGTAAGAGTGCTCTTAAAATACCAGAGTGTATTTTAGGTAGACAAACTTCCTTTTTCTTTTTCTTTTTCTTTTTTTTTTTTAATACTCTCAGCCTTCTAATCATAAAAATGGTTATAGTATAAGCCTGATTTTTTTCATGCAAGTATATGGGCTTATTGGGAAAACTGCAAGTTGCATCTGTTTCTGAGATTATACCCAGCATAATTTAAACTTGTTGGGGTTTTTTTGCTAGAATGTTTTAAGAAAACGCAATAAATAACAACAGCAACACAAAAAATTTATTATAACATCAGTCCTAGGATATATTACATTTGGCTATGATTTTTAAGCTATTCTAATACCGATACAGCAGTCCTATGCATTGTAGCTTTTTGTTATCTAATTTTTTTTCTCTTTGCTAATCTTTCCTATTCTCTTGCTCATTAGAGCTGTGTTTCATTTTGTAGCTGCAGAGCCAATGCTTTATTGAAGCCTTTAGTTCTGAAATGTTACCATTTATTTAAAGCTTTGCAGTATATCCCAATTTCTCCATCTCTGTCACAGAATAGTTCCTTGACTTTTCAGTAATGGAATGTTTTCCTTTGGACCAGCCAGACAATCTTTGTGTTTTTATTTCTTGCTCCTTTCCTTAGACCAGAGATGCTCTAGGGAGTGCTCGAGATCAGAAAGGGGCTACTGGCCGAGGCAGTTATTAGCAGATGTAGCCACTGTCTACTGGAAAGGTGGCATGGCAAGCTGTAGGCAATCCAGGAGGCTCCTGGAATGAATGCTTTGAGGGTAACTTCTTGAGCCTAGTAATAGACAAGGGAGATGCAATACCAGACCAGTGCATTCACCAATGCAAGTGAACTGATTGGTTACAACAGGATTGGAGGCTGCCTGGGCTGTAGTGATCAGGCAGTGCTGAAGTTCCCACTCCTGAGGGATATTGGACAAAGAATAAAGTCAGCATGCTAAATTTTAGGAAAACTAGCTTTCAGCTGTTCAGGGAATCTGTCAACAGAACCCCTAGGAAGCTGTCCTAAAGGACCAGGAAGCGGTGCAGCACTGGCAGACCTTTAAGAGATGTCTGTGTCCCCAGGCGCTGGAAGTCTGAAAGGGGAGGCAAGAGACCAGCATGGCTTGACCAGGACCTGCCAGACAAACTAGAGAGCAAGAAAAATACACAAGCAAGGGAAGCAGGGACAGGTACCCTGGGAGAAGTATGGCCTGCTACTGGACTATGTAGGGATGGAGTCAGGAAGACCAAGGCCCAATTAGAACTGGGCTTATCAAGGAATGTAAAGAAGAACAAGAAAGACTCCTACAGATACATCAATCAGAAAAGGAACATCCAAGAAGGTGTTCCCCCAGATGGTGAGCAGTACAGGCAGGCTGGTAACAATGAACTAAGAGAAAGCTGAGATATTCAACAACTTTTTTGCCTCAGTCTTCACTGGCAGCTGATCTTCACACACCCCTTGTGCACATGAGTCAGACAGTAGGGACTGGGGGAGCAGTGCCCCTCCTGCTATAAGAGAAGGTCACGTTTGTGACCACGTGAGGAACCTGAACATCTCTAAGTCTATAAATCCTGATGGGATGCATCTCAGAGTCCTGAGGGAATTATCTGATATAGTCACCAAGCCACTCTTGATGGTATTTGAACAGTCATGGCAATCAGATGTAGTCCCTAGTGACTGGGAAAAACGCAACAGCAGACCCACTTTTAAGAAGGGGGTGACTCAGGAATTACCAACCTGTCAGCCTCACCTGTGTTCTGAGGAAAATCATGGAGCAGATCCTCCTGGAAGCTAAGGCACGTGGAAGAGACTGAGGTGATATGAGATAACCAGCGTGGCTTCACCAAGGGCAGGTCCTGTCTGTCCCAACCTAGTGGCTTTTTATGCTGATGTAACTGTGTCAGTGGACAGAGGAAGAGCCACTGACGTCATCTGTCTGGACTTCAGTAAAGCCTTTGACACAATCCCCCATAACTCCCCAAATTATAAGGATATAGATATGATGGGAGGACTGTTCACTGGATAAGGAAATAGTTGCAAGATAATATCCAGAGAGCGGTGGTCAATGGTTCAGTGTCCAGATGGAGATCAGTGACAAGTAGAGTCCCTCAGGATCTAGTTTAATATCTAATAATTTTTTATTTAAAAAAATATATATATTTAATATCTAGTGCTGTTTAACATCTTCATCAATGGCGTCTACAGTGAGATTGAGTGCACCCTCAGCAAGTTTGCACATGACACCAAACTGTATGGTGTCATTGACACACCTGATGGACAGGTTGCTATTGAGAAAGCTATTAGACACACTCAAACTGTGGGCCCAGGTGAACATCATGAGGTTCAACAAATCCAAGTAGAAGGTCTTACGCCAAGGTCCCAGCAACCCCTACTGTCAGTAAAGGCTGGGTACAGACGGGACAGAGCACTGTTCTGCCAACAAGAACATGGGCATGAGCCAGCAATGTGCCCTCGCAGCCCAGAAAGCCAATCATATCCTGGGCTGCATCAAAAGCAGCATGGCCAGCAGGGCGAGGGAGGTGATCCTGCTCCTCTACTCTGTGCTGGTGAGATCTCACCTGCAGTACTGCATCCAGATGTGGAGTGCTCAGTGCAAGAGAGACATGGACCTGTTGGAACTCATCCAGAGAAGGGCCACAAAAATAATGCAAGGGATGGAATGCCTCTCCTATGAGGACAGGCTGAGAGAGTTGGGACTAGCTGGGACTCTTCAGCCTGAAGAAGAAAAGACTCTGAGGAGACCACGAGTGATCTTACATTATCTAAATTGGGGCTCTGGGAAAGAAGGGGACAGACTCTTTAGTAGGGTCTGTTACGATAGGAAAAGGGGAAATGTTTTCAAACCAAAAGAGGGAAAATTTAGATTGGATGTAAGGAAGAAATTTTTTATGATAAGTGTGATGTGGCACTGGAATGGGTTGCCCATTCCAGAGAATGTGGTAGATGCCCCGTCCCTGGAGACGTTCAAGGTCAGGCTGGACAGGGATCTGAGCAGCTTAATCTAGCTGTGGATGTCCCTGTTCATTGCTGAGGAGTTGGACTAGATGACCTTCAAGGGTCCCTTGCTACTCAGACAATTCTGATTCCCTGCCTTACGGGATCTGAGCTGCTGCAAACAGCTTCTGAACCCATTTGCAACACTCAGATATCTGTTTCCACTTCCAAAAAAAAACTTCTGACCACCCCCAATTCCAAAAATGTTGCTGGCTTATTGTTCTATTCTTTGTAAAGATCTTGTCTAGTATGCAGGATCTTCTTCATGGACTCTAGCTTCTGTATTTTCATCAAGTATTTTCTTTTTAGAATGCAACAAGGATGCAAATAACTCTGCTTCTTTGAGAAACCTAGAGTTGCTTTAAGATCTCCTGAAAGTTTAACACCAGGGTTGATAATCTATGACTATTTGAAAGGCATTTCATAAAAGACGGTAGATGTGCCCATTGGAACGAATAACTTGACAGCAACATTGCATTTTGATTTTAAGCAGAGGAGAGGAGGAAAATGTGGAAATATTGTTAGTAACAATAATCACCAACTGGGAATGTAAACACCAGTCTAATTCTGTGTCAATATGTGTACTTAATAGTCAAAGACTTCTCTCCTGCTGTAACCAAGTAGTATGCTTGTTTCATGACTGAGCTGCATTTGATTGTAGTGACAGCTGATGCAAGGAAGCCAGAGTAGAGAGCCCAGCAGGGACATGCTTTCCTCAGAACTGATATTCTAACAGTTTCTTGTTTGTTAATGCAGAATTGGGTTTCAAAAGAGTTTCTGATCTTTTTGGTTTTGAGATAAGTTAGCATGGATTCTCTCTCTTATTGATTCTAGTTTGGGATTTTGTTGTTGTTTAAATTAGAGTACTATTAAAGATAATATTCTTTAAAAATACTGTTTCAGTAGTTACTGAAATACTCTAAAGCAAGCATGTCTAGCCTGCAGGCCACTTGTGTCCCGACACTGGTTGTATTGTGGCCGCCCCCTGCCCTGCACCGTTGTGCCATCAGCTCTTCCTTGCCAAGCAGTCCAGCCCAGCTTTGAGTGCACAACCATCACTCAGCAACAACCCAACATTGGTGCACCATCAGACTTCTCTGGGCTGAAACCAGGACATGTTTGTAGAACTTAGCTTAGTTTGAGCATGACTTCTTAAGAACTGTTTACCCAGGTCTTAAGCACTTGGGTAGTAGTTTTAAAAAGTATGTGGATTTGTTTTTATTTTCTCTCATTTGTAATTGAGTTGGAATAAGTTTCAGTAATTTTAAGTTTGGTAAACGTTTTATTTCACCAACTTTGTCTAAAGGAAAAACATTTTGGTTGAGAAATAAATAATGGAAAACAAATATGGCTTAATAATATTTTTGTGTGAAATATACTATCTAATGGGAAGGGCTGAATAAACCATCCTTACATCTTATAGGGACCTTTCAGTAACTGTGGGAACGTTAACTTCTCAGGAGACCTGCTAAAAGTTCAAAATGTGAAAAAGCTAATATCTCTACATAGTGGAGCTTTTCTTTATTCCATGTGGATATGCACTGTGCTTTAGACTGTAATGAGTTGCTCAGATATCACAAGTATGGGATTCAGGGCTAAGGAGAATCCTTGCTTTCTTTGGTTAGATCACCTCCTCCTGTGAGTAACAGTCAAGTTTGGGTTATATCTGAAGATCCTTACTTTTCTCCCATTTTATTTTAAAGGCTGCCAGTCTGTACCGGTTGGAAGAAGAGAATCACGAAGCAGCTGCCCGTCTGGAAGAGGTGGTTTATCGTGGGGATATGCTCCTGGAAAAGATACAGAGCGCCCTGGCTGATATTGCCCAGTCGCAACTGAAGACCAGAAGTGGCACACACAGCCAGCCCCTTCCGGACTCGTAGCACCAGGGGGCAGCACACCGTTGCAAAACTGAACTGCGGCAAGTGATCTGGTGTAAAACCCAGCCCTGTGCCTACCGGGAGCTGCAGCGGCCAGCCCTGCTCTCCTGGGGCTTCCAGGTGCCCTGATTATCGGTAACAGTAGCTTTAATCAAAGCTCAAATTACAGAAACACATTGTAGAATCAGTGGTTTTTTTTCTCAAATTATACATCTTAATATATAATTCTTTGACTTAAAATATTAATTTCTTAGGTTTTTTTTTTCCACATATATGTCTGACTTCAGTCTTATCTTTTTTTGTACGGGCCTTCATGTCTAAAGGAAACAAAAGAACCTTAAGAATATGTAATTTACTAACCTGCCTTCAGTCTTGTATGTTCGTGGTGTACTTTTTTTGTTGTTTTTTAAACTCAAACACGGACACACTGTTTAATTTGCCAGAGTTCCATGGAGACAATGATGTGAATACAGTGGCCATCTGTTCTAATTAACGGAAATGGTAATTAAACATTTGTATTACTACTTAGCTTATCTTTTACAGAGCAGGTAAAGGGGTAAGTAAACTTAGAAGTTTGCAGAGTAAGTGTTTTTGCTATTGGCATCTCATTTAAAAATAAATAAATCTTCAAATATGTGGTGTTGGCATTTTTTTAATTGTTTGTAATTCAGGAGTTGGTCTTTGACTCCCTTGTGACCACAGACACACATTTACCTGCTTCTGCTGATGTTCTGCCTTTTCACAGCAACTGCTGAGTGCCTGTAAAGTATTCACCTTAAAGGTAATGAGGAGAGCAGTGAGAAAACTGAAAATGACTGATGTAATATTGCTTTTCAGTGCAAGCAGTTAACTGCTACATGAATAAATGATCTTCAGCAGCAAAAAGCCTGTGATCTTTAACGTTCTTTAAGAGGTTTTTCGTCTCATTTTCACTCACTAAATAAATTTGTGCCCCTCATCTTAGGACTCTGGAAATACCAACCTTTTCTTCCATTTGAGAGAAAATAAATAAACCAAAGAACCAGATAATTTGAGCTCTAGTACTTGAACTTGGGGGTTGAACCATTAGTCACTTTCTGTATTTTTGAATCCACTGTCTTATATTATTGTAGGCTGGTTTTTGATTATACTTAATGTCAGCTCGTTTGCTGATCAAGACACTGATGTGTACTGCACATACGTCAGCTGAAGTTACATGCATTGCTAATGTGTTGAAATGGCTAAGTAGTTCCAGTACGTTTTTAGCAATGGATCTGCAGGGAATTAGATACTTCTGCTTAGTAAACTACACCAATGAAACTGAGTATAACAGGATGGTACACGTAGCAGCCTCCAGTTTTGAGGATTAAAAAAATGCAAAGCTGTTCCAACCTGTAGCGCTCAGGCTTGTATTTAATTTAATAGTTAGTCAAATTTGTATATCTGTAGTCATAAATCTAATCTGCTCTTGTGAGGCTTTTGTACCACCCAGATTCCTCCGAAGGCAGAACAAGTGGGGAGGTGAGCAGGCTGTGGCACAACTACAGTTCTAAAGAAGGATATTTATTAAAAATAACTGGGCTGTGGCAACTTACTAAGCCATGTGAATGTGTCTATGGTCAGGGGAGGCCTGAGGCAGCAAATTTTTGTTTGAAGCTAGGCCTGTTTTTCTTCTTTTTTTGTTTTTAACAACTGCATTCAGTGCAGGTGGAGCTGCTTATTGTTTTGTTGTTGTTTTTTAACTCGTGAACTTACAAAACTGTAAGCGAAGCTTGCAAAGTGAGCTTGAAGCTTATGTATTTTTATTGGCACTGAGAGACCTTAATCTGAGATTTCTACATTGCTGGGAATGGGATTAGGTTTTCATGGCAGAAACCCTTGTACATCTTATTATCAAACTTTTTCACTTTGAAACATCCACTCTGGGAGACGGTGTATGTCTTCAGTAACAATGCAGTTGTTTTTATTTCATATCTTTTTGGGTTTTGTACTTGGAAACTGTTGTATTACTGCAGTTTAATATTGCTTAACTGTGGAAGTTTTTCCCTTATTTGAATACACTAGCCTACTTTTTTTTAAAGCGTGTGTTGATATCTAAGTTAATCACATTTAAAAGTAAACTTTAACAGAAGTACGAGCTCTCAGTATGTGTGTGCAGCTTCTCAGTGCTGTGCTTGTGTGTAGTGTAGCAAATGTTGCCAATTTAATAAAGATGCTTGTAATACAGTAAAAACAATGAACAATATAAGGCAGAGTCAAAATCATTCTTCTTTTCCTTGAGAAGTAAAGTAACGATGGGGTGAGTAGGTAAGTAGTATAAGATGTGTGACCCCAATAGTTCTCCTATGTTATGTTGCTGGACTAGCTATCATAAATCTTTACCTGTGGTTTTGCAGTCCACAGCTAAGGCTGTGAGATTGTACATCTTCTGTTTTGTTCTGGCAGAAGGAGGAGGAAGACTCAATTTGCTGCAGCTGTCTAGTGGGAAAGCATTAGATCTGGGGCTTGTAGATGTGGATTTCTTTCCCTTCTGTCACAGTTGTGTTTGTCTGTTCCCTGCTCCTGGGGAGTAAATATCTGTCTACCCACAATGTCTATGATCTCCGTAAGAGGCTGCCTTGAAATTGTTTGCTATACTCATGCACAAATGGTAGGGTGTGCAGGATATTGTGTCTGTACCTTTTAACACCCTGAATTTCAAGGAGGAAAAAGAAGGGGGGAAGCCACAGATATTTGGAAAAGGCAATGCCTCAACCCTAAGAAGCCATGACTGCCCCCTGTTTCACTACTGAGGAGGCAGCAGCAGAAGGAAGAACCCTGAATAACATCTGCTAACAAACAGATCAGGTTACATGCAAGTGAGCTGTAAAGGAAAATTTGGGTTGAGATGGGAATTAAATGGAGGTAATGCATCATGGGAAGAAAACAAAAGTATTGAGCAAGGTATTAAATGGTTGCGTTGGACAAGAAGTACTGCCCAGAGAACAAATTGTGCTTTGAAGAAAGATAGCACAGAGCATAATGGAAAATTCCATTGAAAAACAATTTCAGCCACTTCAAATGAGCAGGAGCATTTCATGGTGAGAATCCATACAGCCCACTGGCAAAGACACTGGAATCAATTTAGTAAATACAAGCAGATGATCAAAGCCTAGTATCCTTTACTATAAACAACCTTGCTCGGAGAAGAGGAATACCTCACAGCAGCTGTTCTCATTTTCATTTACAAGCATATGGAGGAATCCAGCCACATTTTTTTAAAGGTACTGGAAGAAATGCGTTGATAATATTTTAACTTAATGTCTCTGAAAACAATCCTGAAGTTACTGCAGATGATATTGGCACTCTGGGAGTTTCTGGGTGTTTGGGATTGGGAGTGGGATTGTATTCTGACCACCCTGACGAATTAATACCACGAGATTTTGGGAGTGCAACAAAAGAGGCCAGGAACTGCCTGGCTGGCAGCTCTGATCCAAAGGGCCTGGTGGTCTTGGCAGGCAGCAAGTGGAGCATGAGCCAGCAGCTGGCCCTGGCAGTAAGCAAGTCCTTTGGCATCCTGGGCTGTGTTAGTTGAGAACACTGCTGGTAGATCAAGGGAAGTCATTGCTTCCCTCTGCTCAGCACTGCTTGGACTGCATCTGGAACACTGTGGGTCGGGGGCCCCCAACATGAAAAAGATGGTAATAAATTACAGCAACTTCATTAGAAGGCCTCTGTAAGAGTGTGGCTGGAGCACCATTCCCATGAGGAGAGGCTGAAGGAGCTGGTCCTGCTCAGCTGGGAAAGGGATGGCACAGAGGGACCAAGCAACAGCCTACCAACACCTGTGGGCAGCTCATGGAGAAGACAGGGCCAAGCTCTTCTGGCAGGAGGATGATAAACAGAGTGCAGAAACTGCAGTAACAGATGAGAATTTCAGACCAGTTGCAGACAAAAGCTTTTCCATCATCGGCACAATCTGGTTTTAGAGCATGGTGCCCAAAGAAGCTTCTGGAAGTGACCTAATGGTCCCATGGGCGCCAAGTACATTCAGGGTTTCAGAAAGAACCAAGAAACTAACAAGGAGTGTTCTTTCCTTTTCCTGTCTCTAAAAAGGCAGAACTGGAGGGCACGAAACTTGGGAGTATTTGGTATCAGCCTCATTCGTATTGATGAGACTTTGTGTGCTGGAAAGCCACTGAGTGGGTCTGAGGCGTGGTGTGAAATTCCATGCCGTAGTGACCCAAGTTTCCAACGGGTGCCCTTGGAGAGCGTGATATGCAAATTCCACATCCTACACTTAAAGATAATTGATCTGTCAGATGATGCTGACTCATTATTAGACAGAGACAGACTTCTCTGAGGAAAGAAATTGTATTCATGTTCTAGATAGCTTGTTATATAGCCTTACATAAGAAATAATGAAAGCCTTATTTTCAGGCACTAACCTGAGACTAGAGCAAGGTTTTTTCTAGACTTTTCTTTCAAATCTATGGAAGGAAATTTAAATGGATTTTATTGACAAAGGAATAAATTGTTTTTTGATAAACAGGACCTTCTTCACACCTAGGCTCCTAGGACTAAGTTCCAGCATCAGAGGGCACAGAAAACAAAGTTTGCCAGTGAGCTGGTTTTTCACACTCCAAATATGTCAGCCACTCTGTTGTATGTGCTTGCAATGAGAGCAATCTGCAGTGGCAATGATATTCAGGAGTAATTTTTTTTTCTTTTTTACTGTTTTAACACAGTGTAACATGTTTTGTAGGAATAATTGTTATGTACTGTTTGCTTACACTTACACTGAGTTTTTATGTTCATTTTTGTTTCCAGGAAGGGTTTGTAGGAAACGTTGTCCACGGTAGGCTAAACAGAGTTCTTTGTATTCTTGTTGCTGCTCAACCTTTATGGCCAAGCAGCTAAGGGAATCCAGCCCTGCTGTAACCACAAAAATACTGTCTATTTTATAATTGCTTAGGCTCTCTCACTGTGTTCCTCCTGAATTGTTTATAGCTAACGTTCATGTGGCATAGCACAGTAGTATAAACAGACCTTCTCCCCAACTCTTTTAATTTGATATTCGATCACCATAAATATTACCAGACTCGTGCAGAAGGCTGCTGGACTTAGCTTCTTTAGCTCTACTCACTTCTCTGGAGGCCTAAGTGAATTAGTCCTGAGACACAGAAATTTGTAGCTGAATAGGAACTGTACAATTTGACTGCAAAACATCCTTTCTCCACCCTGCCCACTTAAAAAGAGAAGATTGAAATAGAAGCCTTCTTTCAGGAAACGATGTACTTCACTCTATGGCTGTGTGGGAGAGCAATTGACTACACATCAACTTTCCACAAGTGCTAGAGGAAAATTACAATTGATCCAAGTGAAAGAAGCCATATTCATATAAAGAACACCCTCAAAGCTGAGAGCTCAAAGGAAGAGCTCTTGCTCTTGCACAACTGTGCACAAGCTGTCAAAGCGCGCCTTTCTGAAAGAAAAATAACAGAGCTCCCTCTCTTTCCTTCCTCTTCAGAAGGTATCAGAAAAAGGGTGCGTTCTGCTTCCAGTTCTGCCATTTCATTCTGAATGTTCATATCAACGAACACTCAACACAATAGGTGTTATTTTTGGTAGCCGAACAGCTTGCAGATCTGCACTTACACAAACCACTCTGCACGC